AAGAAAAGATGTGGCAAAAGCAGTCAGCAGATACAATGCAAAATCAGATCAAATCATTTCAGTAACGCTCCATGGTAAACCTATGATTATCACCATAATACAAGTATATGCACCAATCACAGAGGCAGAACAGGAAGAAATTGATAGATTCTATGAAGGAGTACAGGAAGAAAGTAACAGCACACCAACACAGGATGTCAAGCTGATCACTGAAGATTGGAACGCAAAAGTTGGAAGCAAAGAAGAATCAAAAACAGTAGGCAGATTTGGTTTAGACAAAAGAAACGAAGCAGGTGAGCGTCTGACAGAGAGGCAGTTCAAGATGAAGACTGGTTCCTCTGACATTTATGAGCCCTAGGAGAGGTTCACCCCATCGCTTGAGTTGTGGAGAAAGGGGATGGTCAGAGTGGCTTATAGATGTAGAGGGGAAGCCCTGGAGGAAGTCCATTACTTCACCTTCAGATTTGAGATCTGCCTGTGTTGGTCCAGGAGAAGGAACCGGCAATATCACTGGCAGGTTTTCTTGTTCTACGGGTGAGTTGGCCTGTAGAGAGTGATGTCGCTGGACGGAGGGTGAGTAGAGAAGTTTCGCAGTAAAGTGGATAGTTTTTCTTATGGATAATGCCTACTTGGGAGTCTGACACCAATGTGGACTGAGAAATTCTTTCTACAAGGTGTTAGTACCGTAGCCTGTACCAATTGCATGGATCCATCCATGCGACAAGATGTAGATGCAGAGGCAGCTCCATTGCTGATTGATGAATAGCCACACAGACTGAGAGGCCCAGGGACCTCTGAGAGGTGGAGTCTTTGTTATCAAGGCTGAAGCCATATTGAGGGCCACATACTCAGCGGATGAGGCTGGGGCTAGGAGAGCTTGTTCCCCAAGTAGTCCTTTCAGATGGGAAGCGCTGTTACGATGGGCCTGGGGTGTGAAGGCCTGGCAATGAGAGCAGGCATTCACATTATAAGTTTCCCCAAGGCAAAGAAGGCACTTGGGAATGTCTGTCCATTTCTGGGATTTTCCCTTGACAAAAGGAGCAGTGTTTGCAGGAAGCCAAAGATGCCAGTCAAATGAAGAAACAGTATAATTTAGAGCAGGGGTTGGCAACCTACAGCCCGCGGGCCACACCCGGGCCGCTGACCTCCACTGCCGCGCACCTCCATGCGCGTCGCGGCCGCCATTTTGTTTGCCAAAATGGTGGCCGCGACTCATTTGTGCATGCGCAGGAGTACCGTTGTGCATGCGCAGGAACACGCACCACCATTCCCTCCCCCTGGCCCACCGGAAGACCTGGGGAGAAGCGACTAGCCCCAGGTACGTCAATGTTGCCGACCCCTGATTTAGAGGGAAAAGACTCTCGAGTACTTGTAGTAAATGTTCTAGGTCAAAATGAAAAGTAAAAAGATAAAGCTTAGAGAAGCTCTTAATCAACACTGCTGCTGCACGGGACAAAAAAGAACTGAGGTTTTGATGCTAGGGCACTCTGAGGGAGAAAGGAACA